GTCCACACATGCAAAAATGTATTCCAATACACTAGGAACTTAGACGAGATTTTTTTTAATTTCCTGGTTTGATATGTTACATTTTTACTCCTTATGAATGAATGCCTTACTTTTACAAAAAAAAAAAAAGATATGAAGTGTGGGCTTTTTAAAATGTATAGCAAATTTTTGATTGGAGATATAAATTTAAAGTCAATTTAAATACAAAGCCAGCTCCATTTCCCATAGTAACTCTTTCAATGGCACAAGATTGTGGATTAAGGGTATTCCATGCACTCTTCCCTCCCCACCTTCTAATCAAAGAAGTGATTTCCTTATGCAAAACAATCTGAATCATAATAAAATCTCCTGTCACCTATAGGCTGTTCCCATTGTAAATGTCCTTCTTAGAATTCATAAGCCAAACGCCCCCCCCCCCAAACACAAAAAGAATGCCTTTGATTAAAAATTTCCTAAGCGGCATACTGAACCAAAGTCAGGGAGCCTCAGGACGCCAGAGAAAGGCACAGAATTCTCAATACTTAGAATTTAAATACAGATTCAAAGATAAGCTAACCCTATCAGAAGGAGATTAATACTTAACAAACAGTGCTTTGGGAAGGAGACAAGCACATCTCAAAATCGCCTTTCCAAAATCTGCTTTCTGGGCCATCGCCATCACCTGACATTTCTGGGAGTGTACGTGTGTGCAAAATGGTAGTGTAGCTCAGGAATGTGTCCAGCCCCCTCCCCCCATATTAAAACAAATACACTGTGAATAGCTCCAGTGAAGATAGAATTTCAACCTCTTGCTTATTTTTATTATTAAAGCCAAAGTGGAACCTTGATTGAATCCCTCAATTCGGAGTTTAACAAGGATGCTCTTCAATAGCTGCCCCTGGCAGATGAAGAGGAGGGCGGGAGAGCTGGCCGCTGCAGAAGAAGCCGGCTACCAGCCTCTACCGTCGGAGCCGGCTTCGAGCCCTACCAGATTCATCTCTCCTTTCTTTCCCCGATGGCACTCCCTTAGGCCGACCAGTGTAACTGTGGTTGTGACTAGGTGAGCCCGGACAAGGTTTCGGGAAGCGGCATGAGGGAGCAGTCACGTCCTCAGAGCTCGGAAGACTCTGGGAAGGCACCCGGTGCCCAAAGCATAGTGGTGCTTGGGGCCAGCTCGGGGCTCCTGGCTCCTGCCGGCAGGGAAACAGCGACACCTACTGGCCGCTTGAGCACCGCGCTTGGGCCGTCGGGGAGGCCCTAGGCTGGAGATGATGCACCCTCTGGACTTGTGGTGCTTTCAGGAGCCCTGTGCTCAAGGCTCTCTGGACCTCTCCAGGCCTTGCTTCACCAGGGAAGATAAAGACCCAATTTCTAGAGAACCCTGAGGGGGTCTTCAGAAGAGACTTGATCACACAGGCAATGCACACACCTTCCAAAGAAGGTCCTTTCATCTGGGAACCCTAGGAACCTGCAGACACAGTTGACTACATAGTCCTTTGGTTTTATGAGACTGAGCGGAGGTCAAGACTCTTAACTCACTTGGATTCATGACCTACGCTCTTCACCACTACCCTATTCCAACGCCTACTAAAGACCATATCTTTACAAATGACAGTAGGCATGGGGATTGGCTGAGTCCTCCTGGTTCTTGGTCCAGGGTCTGCATCTTTAGGGCACTCACAACGCACCCAGAGATTGACATTTGGTACCTTTTTCTTTAAGAATCAAAATATTAATTCCTCCCCAAGTTAAGGCAAACTGAGAGTGTTGGTGATATTTTTGAGACCTAAGGCTGTACACATATATATTTAAAGCATATATATTAAAGTAGATATGTTAAGGTATATGTAATTTAAATAAATTATGTCTGTTTTGTAAAATGTATGTCCCAATACAAATTGTATATTCCAGATTGTCTTATGAGTCTTTTCTGTAAAAGCAATAACCATTTCATGTGAAAAGATGTGACGTAGGTGGTCCCAGCTGCTGATGGAGAAAGGAAAGTCCTCAGCTACCTTGTTCCCTATATGTCTCCTTTTGAAATACCAGTTCTGCTCTGGCATGGACCTCAGAAACCTCATTCACTGGGATTCCAATGCTAACCTGCTGAAATGTTAAGGCATGTTCATTCCCCTAAAAACGGGGCAGGGGGAGATATTTGAATTAGTTTGAATCTTTGAGATTTCAATTCAAAATGTTACTAACAAATCCCTTTTAAAAAATTAAAGAGCACCTGTTAATTCAAAGGTCAAGAGTTCATCTTCGAAGTTCTTCCTCTGAGCTTTAGAACACTGGTTGGAACCAGGGTCTTATGTGTCTTAATAAGGAGTGTGAGGTAGTCGGTGTGGAGGAAGGCTGGTTAGGGCCAAACTCCTCTTCATTCTCTATATTTGCAAAAGTCTGCTACTTCTATTTTCTTTTGATAAAATTGGAAGCTCTTGGTGTCCTTAAAATCCAGGAGTTTTAAATCAGTTTTATACCTATTTCCTTTTTAATTAAAAAAGCTCTAAGAAGCCCAGGAAGCCTGATCCTTGACTCAGTCTTGCATGTATTGTTTTCTTGTTCTAATTTTCCTGCAAGTGAATGAGTGTGTTCTGACAATATGTGACCTCACATCTTAGAACAGACCTTTAGCAGTTTGTATGATGTGTGAATAAATTCATATTACTAATAATGAACAAAACAGAGCAATATTCTTATGGCATTTTCTCAATGAATGTTATATTCTGCTGCATATCCAAGTTTCCTTGAAAAATGAAAACCTTCATGGGAAAGGAAAATGATTACAGAACAATTAAATTACACTGGGCATACAGGCATCCAGTCAGCCAAACCTAGTTCAAAGGGCTCTTTAGGTACTGAAAGCACCTTGAAAAATGAAAGTAGTTGTTCCTTTCTTTCTGTGTGATCTTTATTTGTCGTTCCAAAACCATAGCTAGAATGGATTCTTGGTTCATCATCTTTGGTTTAATGCTAAACATTATTTTGGCTTTAATGCTAAAAATGTAGAAAAATAGAGTGTGTGTCAAAATGGTGGAATTTCTCTACATACTAATCACTTGCAAAGCATTAATGCATTAAACCCTAGGTGAAGGAACTTTCTTGATTTAAAACAGAAAATTAGGCCAGCAAAATAATTTCTTATTTTGTAAGAAATTTTAAGATATCTGCTATCTATAACAATGTGTGTGTGTGTGTGTGTGTGTGTCTGTGCGTGATTATCACCATGTGTGTATGAAGAAAGGGTGGAGACAAAGCTAGGGTGTGTTTGAGTATCCCTTGATAGATTTCTCTCTTAGCTCCTCCTATTTAGCAAGATAATCAAACAATTGAAAACAGACTAAACTTAATAGACTGGGTCTTTGTCACATCTGCCCTTGCTTTACCGTCACCAAGGGACGGTGTGCTTCCTTCATTCCTTGATTATTGAGTAACCTGAAGGAAAGGATGTAAAGATGAGAATACTGACCAGAAAGGAACATTACTGTATGTGAAAATGAGAGGCTATATTTGAACCCTGACTAAATCCCAGCTAGGTGGTTGTCTGGGGAGGGAGCACTTATGTGTGCAAGCTGGAAGTCTAAGTGAATGAAGCTCTTGGTGCTAGGAAAAGAGGCTTCTTGCATTTTGAGTGGCTTTCTTTTCAGCCTCAGTGAAATCTTTAGGGGCTCACTGACATTTGACTTCAAGAAGTAGAGCTCTGAGGACACCTGTGTGCATCTACTTGGAGAAAGGTGTGTGTGTGTGTGTGTGTGTGTGTGTGTGTGTGTGTGTGTGTTTGTGTAAGGGACCATTTGATCAAAAACATCTGAAAAAATTTGTCTCAGAATTCTGCCATGTTATCCATTGGGACCAAGCATCAAGGTCACCTACTGCCCAGGATAACTTGGGGAAGGAGGCAGCAGTGCTGCTTTTGATGGCGTGGAAATGGCTTCTTTCAGAATTTCTCTGACTCTTTATGGCACTTCTTTTCAGTGGGCAGGCTGTATTTCCTCCCCCTCCCTTCTTGATCCGGGCAAACAAACGGTTCTACCACTCCAGCCATCTGCCGCAGGTGTAATGGATGGCAGGGGGGCGACCTAACTACACTCCAGTCTCTTCTAGGTCGTCACCACTCTGCACCAAACAAATGAGTCCTGTTTCGCCACTAGGGTGCCGAGGTGGATGGTGGATACTGGCTCCAGCCTTTGGCAACGTTCAGCGCTTAGAAACCAGAGCCAGCTGACAACACACGAAACACACAGGCACAGAGAAAACGCCCAGCCAACGCGTGTTCCTTCGGCCCCCCTCCCTCTGCTCTCTACACACAAGGACACGTACGCAACATTTAAAAGCCCTTTCGACTCCATCTGAATTCTTAGTAACTTAGGACTACCTTACTCCTTGTACAGAGCCCCCCCCCGGTGTGTGTGTGTGTGTGTGTGTGTGTGTGTGTGTGTGTGTGTAGGGGGCACGCATGAATATGCGTGTGTATTTAAAACGCTTATTGGCAGGTCAGCAGCAGCTGATCACATATGGTAATCCAATAATCTTTTGGACCTACATACAGCTTTTCATTAAAGTCATTCTTTTTGAAGGAAAAGGGGGAAATTATCAATTGTCTGCACAATTCTATGTTCCAGAGAACAGTAGAATTTCAGAGCCCCCACCTTGCCAAACTTTCCCCTTTCAAGGTTTGAGAGAGGCGCACGGTCTCCCTTCCTGACCGCCAGAAAGCCGGGTGAACGCCGGTGTGTAAAGGAGGCGCTGCTCAATGCTCTGCACAGGAAGGGAAGCTGGAGCGCTTGGAAGCCACCCAGCTGTCGCCGTTCTCCAGTCTAGCTAGGAAGAGAGCCTCGCGCGGGAATGGAGCTCCTTCTCTGTGAGCAACACCCTCTCAGCTCAGGACCCTCCTTCTCAGACCCACACCCCATCAACGTTTTCATCCCTATTTGAATACCGCCGGTGTCAGGGCTTTGGGCGGGGTCGGGGGGTGTTGGACCCTTCCAGGTAGGAACTCCGCGGGCCCCCAGAGTACTCACCTAAAGCGAGGCCCTGGCAAATGGTGGCCAAGAAGAGCAGCAAGTTTCGTCTCCCAGACGGACCAGATTTCCCTCTGGTCTTCCTGCTTCAAGTCACGGCTCTCTCTCTCTCTCTCTCTCTCTCTCTCTCTCTCTCTCTCTCTCATTACTTGTGACTTTTAGAGCCAAAAGCTTGCTTATTCGCTTATTCAGAGGAGAGAGGAAGGGAAGAGGGAGGAGATAAGAGGTACGGAAGAAGTAAGGAGGAAGAGGGGGAGAGAAAAAGAGAGACGGACGAAGGGAAAGGGAGGGAGAAAAGGAGAGGAGAGGGGAGAGAGAGAGAGAAAGAGAGAGAGAGAGATCCAGGGTGAATAGAAGAATCAGAGGGTAATGCAGGCGTTGGTAGAGGAGGAGGAAGAGGTGGAGGGATGGGAGGGGTAGGGTGGAGTAACAGAAGATGGGCTGGGATGCGACCGCCAGAAATAAATTGCTCCCCACCCAGCTGCAGTGCGACGCCCCCAGCGTCCCTGGGGAGCGAGTGCGTCAGCTCCCGACTGGCCAAGGCAGGCAGGGCGGTACAAATTCTAGAGCCACCCGACCCCCTGCTAGGACTTTCCACCCAGCCGGCCCAGCCACCCGGGCCGAGCCACCGGTGGGCTCCAACTGCAGCGTTCGCAGGGGTGGCTATCTAGGGTCTGCGAGCTCAGTGGAACTTTGCTTTCATTCCCAGGAGCCTGGCCATTCCGGCCCGCATCTCAGACAAGTGCAGGAGGCTGGTACAACCTCTGCACGCTCCTTCTGGTGCCCCACACCTCGGCCTTGGCGGCTACTACCCAGGCCACTCACCCTGCCGCTTCCTCACTGCCGGAGTTAAGTCCGCACCCAGCATCGTTGTTCACACTGGGACACTCCCTCCCTCACCTCATCTTGTTTACGGAGGGTGTGTGTGTGTGTGTGTGTGTGTGTGTGTGTGTGTGTGTGTACACGCTCACGAGTGCGTGTGTATATACGCGCGCAGCGCACGTTCCAGGCAAGAAAGAAGGTAAAATCCGGAACAAAAAGTATCTTTGGTCTCCTGCAGCTTGCAGACAAGAACAAGTTAGATTATACGCGGTTTCTGAGATGAATTTCGAAGCAAGAAACAAGGCTGCAGCTCACCAAATCATTTCAGCTGAGGTTTTACAGAGCAAAGATCATTTATTATTGTTCAGCATGACGAAAATAGGTTAAAACACAAAGGAAAAAAAAAACAGTAGCAGAGAAAGAAGTACATTTTGGTGTTGGTCAGGAGCTAAAAGTGTTTGGAAGGGTTTTCTTGAGCAGGAGCATCCACGGTGGATAAAGGTGGAAGCCACAAATTTGCACAAAACAGCTCTAGTACGTGACGGGATTAAAAATGGGAGCATGCTTTTCGACATAGAAGACCCATTAGTTCTCTGTTAAATGCATTAAGCCAGACTCATGGAATGATTACACGGCAGCCTTTAATGTACAAACACAGGGGTACCGTAAAAAGTGCACACAGTCCATTTACAAAACTCTGTATGCCCACACAGACGCATTCATAAAGAGAAAAAGTTTAAACATCGGCATCCAAACACGTGAATGCATTTTCTCAAACCATTCCTAAATATAGTTAGGTTCTTTTCCTCTCATTTCCTTACTGACCTGTAGATGCGACCTTGTACAGTAGGTTGCTAGGTTCCACATAATTCTACTTGCATTCGTCTGAATAGCAAGTTATAAAATGTCAGAGGGGGAAGGGAAACCTTGAGGGGCGTGGAGAAGAAGCCTTTTATTAGCAATTATATTCTCCCACAGCAGTTTAATTTAAATAATAGCAATGATGTCACAGTAACCATCTCCTTTCTTCCATTCCAGCAAGACTACCAATGGTTTGATGCACTACAAATTTGCATGCTCAGTTAAGGGATTATTACTGCTGTACAGCTATGCACCTATCCTGTGGCAGAAAAAATTCCTGAACATTAAATCGTTCGACATTTTGGCAAGTTTTAGGACCTGTTTACCTGCCAAATCTTATTTCAGAATAGCAATGATGAAATCTTGGTTTGTGCCAAACATAGTTTTGAAGGAAAATAGAACAAATGAAGTTGTTCTTTGAAAAATTATGTCAGTTGAAGGCAAATAAAAAGATTTCCCCTGAGCAGAAAGACCTGGCTATGAACTATACTAAGCAAGGGTCATATTTTACCAATCTGAATGGAATTTAATTTTTTTCTTTTGGAAAGCAGTGCTAGGAGAGCAAATGGAAAATGCAAAGACCTGAGCCCAGACAGCCCCAGTAGGTCGCGATTCAGAAAAGGAATACCTTGCGCACCCGCACATTACCCACATTACCGAGCTGTTAAGCACTCTGTGTCCAAGGATAAAAGTTCTGGATCTTGGGGATCTGCCACATGTTTCGAAGTGAGTGCTTGTTTTAGGGCAACATTCAGACTATATGACATGGTGAAGACAGAACCTTTACTATTTTTCATCGTTTATAGCAATTGCACAATAATTAAACTACCTTGCTTATTGAATACATTTTTAGATAATCTGACTATCTGTCTTTGAAATTATTGGATATTCCTTGATTCTAATGAGGGCTCAAGAGTGAGTTTGACAGAGGAGGTAGAGGGATAGGGACAGGCACAGTTTTGAATTACAGACCAATTGTAAATGACAGTAATTGATTATCAGCTATAGAGAGGTGGCCAAAAGAAATCATGACTCCTGTTTAAAAAGGTCTCAGCAGTTTGAAAAACCTCTCTACACTTGAGACAACTTCATAAATTACATACAGTATTTTTCCTTTTAATTTGTCCTCAATCTCAGAAAATTGCATGAATTTATTAACGAGATGAACCCAGAAGGTTCTAATAAGATACCAGATATCCACTGGTGTCCCAAAAGATGCACAACCTGCCTGTATAGAAGGTATGAGGAATCAAATAAAGACTCAAACTATGGTTGGCTCTGTGGCCCTGGCACTGGGGAATGTGGCTTCAGTAAATTAGTCTGTTAAGCACAGGAAAAGAAAACATGACTTGCCTCATGCAAAATAATTTGGTTCTATTGGAGAGTGATGAAGGGGTGGAGGAGGAGGAGGAGGAGGAGGAGATGGAGGAGGAGGAGGAGATGGAGGAGGAGATGGAGGAGAAGGAAGAGGAGGAAGAGGAAGAAGGAGGAGGAGGAGGAAGAGGAGAAGAGGCAGAGGAGGGGGAGGAGAGGAGGAAGAGGAAGAGGGAGGGGAAGGGGGAAGTGGAAGAAGAAGGAGGAGGAGAAGGAGAAGGAGAAGAAGAAGAAGAAGAAGAAGAAGAGGAGGAGGAGGAAGAGGAAGAGGGAAAAGAAGAGGAAGAAAAAGTGGTTATATCTTCAGGTTCTGCCAGGGGCGAGCTATATCTTGAAGTTGTTTACCCAAATCATTCTAGGATCTTCAGCTGGCCTAGGAGATCACGAATTGGGATTCAGCAAGAACACATATGTGTTTCAGAACTAGGGGCTGTGATGAAGTGCTGTTTGTGGATTCTTTTCACTGAGTGATTCTGTAACAATCAGTGACTTTGGCAGCAGCTAGAAAAGCAAGAATAATTTACCGCCAAACAACATTGACTGTGACATATTTAATGGGACCAGTTGAAACTTTATTTTCCCCTACAGATGTTAGTATTCTCTCTATCTCTCACAGACTTCACTCTTTTTCATTTACAGGTAATCATTACCATTGGGTTATACTATAATTAACACAGAGGTACAAGGGCATTTCCAGGTCATGTAAATATCAATAGTGCCAACACTCCTGGCAGCATTTTTGCAAATGGGTGCCACTCTACAGAGTCAGGGTTTTGTTTGTGTGGTTTGGACTCAAGTCTTGTTACCTGTAAATTTTTTTCTAAATCCATCTCAGGAGTTAGGATACATGCCCCACCCCTGTAAATCATCACTGTACACAGGTCTCTGTACCCTGTTACCATAGCTCTGCTAGAATTCTCCTAGTATTAGTTTAAAACTTTTTTGGTCATCTTTAATGACTGCTCCCTTCAGGAGTCAATGGGGAAATTCAAATTTAGATTTCATATTCATCATTTAAACACTGTTTTTTTTTATTATTAAAAGTTAAACCCAATCCCCCAAATTCAGCCTGTGACTTTTTAAAACTCAAATGCTTCTTTTAATTATCCAAGGTTTCAAACCAGCTGCTATTTTCAGATTTCATGATGGCAATAATGCAGGGTCCACAAGTCCATTGACACACTGGAGTCCGAAGTCACCACTCTTAAAATTTCTTTCTTCTTGCCTAATAAAACACAGGTTGGCTGTCTTTGAATTCCCTTCTACAGATTATCAAGAAAATGAATTTCACTTAGGGAGAGCCACTGTGACCTTCCATCTTAGAAAAGGTTGGAGATGGGCTCTCTTAGCTTTAATTTTAGAGGTCTGCCTCTGCTCAGCCCTGCTTAGAGACTCCAGGTTGGTCATGAGAATATGCTAGCTAAAATATCTGATTTTATATCCAAGGCATACTTGGCTACGTTCATAAAACAACCAGTAGGCTAATAGAAGGCAAATAATCATCAAGATAGAGCCTTGGTGGTTTCTACCAGGGGTGTTTGGGCCATAAAACAGGGGTGGGGGAGCCCCCCCTTTGACCCTCCCTCCTTGAATCAATGGCACCTGCGCTGTAGCTTGCTTTCTTAGGAGAGTGGCTGGGGAGGGGATGCCAGGCTCCTCCCCAGGGCCCCCAGGCTCTCCTCTTCCAGCAGCTTTCTGGAGTACTTTGACCTCCGCCGCCATTTCGCTTGTTCTTTTCCTTCAAATAACACCTGCTGCCTTAGAACCAGTACACCTGACACCAGAAGTAGTCAAAGGAAAAGAAAGAGAAAGCCCCACCCTCCTTAATTCCGTTTGGTAAGAGCCCAGGCCGCCAAATCCATTACATAACACCAGCTCAAGCTGACACCTGTGCCGGGAGCTGGAGCGGGATCGGGTTCCAGCCCCTTCAGGGCCTGGAACACTGGCAAGGGAACAGGAGCAAAATTCGGGCTGTAGGTTTGCCCTGTTTCTAGATTAAAATAGGGCTGGATCCTGGAGAAGACCTTTCAAGGACGACTTTTCCAAACTTTTGGGCTGTGAAAACAAGCACTCTTTCAAAGTCCCAGAGCTCTCTGAGAGGACATCTACCTCGGCGCTCCAGCCTCAGCCGGCTTC